GTGGAGAGATGTTTGCCAACATGTTAGGGGGCGTTATCTCTGATAATGAGATTCCACTATTAACATGAAGTGTACTTTGGGTGGGTGTCTGCTCATGGGTGCTTTTCTGTGTTTCTGAGCAGCAGAAGGCCTCCTTTTGACAGCGAGTATATGAATAAACTGAATAAGAATAAAAAGTCATTAAATTTCTTAAAGAAAAGCAAGGACAGTCACCCATCCTGTGTTCTAATTGACTGTCCCCTTGAAGTGTGCCTCTAAAGTCTTAACATCAAGGCACCAGCAGAGGGCGCTGCGTGCAAGAGTATCTGGCTTGCTTAACCCTGCTGGGAGTTTGATTACACCAGTCAGTTGCCCCCTGCAGGGCTTCTGACCTCGGGGTTCCAGACCTTGGCCTTTCCTCTGGTTACCATCCTGCTGAGGACCTAGGAAAGACCCAGAACCATCCAGCTACATCCCTGAATCCATCCAGTTCTGCCCCAAAAGACCTACACAGATTTGTGAAACAATGTTGGTTTGGGGTGGGAACAGTTTGGGGAGGGAGAAATTATTCAGAACCTATGGGACTAAGTGAAAATGACAGAAAAGACAGAGGGAGGGTGTCCATAAGAATTCTGTATCTCTTTGCCCAGATAGTCTCGTTTTGAAACAGTCCCCAGTTTTGTTCCTTGGTGCTTGGCTACAGTGTGGACCCTGATAAGAGCCCACCTGAAAAGATAGACGCCTGATAAGAGTCAAAACCATCCTCCCTCCCACCCGCTGCCCACATTCTAGCCCCAGGACAAGGAAGCCTAGAGACCCGCAGGACAGGTTGTGGTGCCCTTGGACTTCCTTTGGCTGTGGGACTCAATACCTGAATGTTAAACATCAGGTTTGGCTTTAAACTGAGCATGCATTGAAAGAACTGTTGTTTTGCAGAATAAATCATTTCATTTTTTTTGATTACTGGAATTTGGACCACTGGATTTGATGTGTAACTTTATGTAAACAAAATGCAAATAAGGTTTATTAAGGGAAATGGAGGAAAATTTTATCCAAGGAACAAAGGGAAATAAGAGAAAGAAGGCACATTTCACTTATAATTGGGAATCAAGAAATTGGCATTTCTTGCTGATATTGATTTTTTTCCCATAAGCTCCACCTGAGATGTCCTCCCTGCCTACCCCCACGGTACTCCATAAAGAAGGCTGGAGAGTGGCGTTCACGTGCCCATGCACCGGCACACACGTACGATCCCACACACGCACACACTTCCTCCCTGGGCTCTTGAGTGGCACTTGCCAGAATCGCATGTCAGAGTGATCTGCCAGCTCAGCATCTGGTGAAGGAAAGTAATTATAGCACAGCCACCATTTCAAGAGGCTATTCTCTTAAATTTCCTCTTCCCACTGTTGTGATTAGACCTCCAAATTGATCAAATTGCCCTTAAGACAAGCGCATTTCACTGGCACAGGGGAGCTTAGGATGTAGCGTGGAAAATGCACTCTCATCATGACAGAAAGGAAGTCGCCCCACACCCTCAAATACACAGCATAGCAACAGAGGGGGCTAAAGCTTAAAACGTTCATCTGACTCAACCCCTTTGCTTTATAGACAAGAAAATCAGAAAGAAAGAGAGAAAACAGCTTGCCCAAAGAAGCCATACAAACCGGGTCCTTCCGCTGTTTGTCCTGGGGGATGCAATTCCCATAAAAGGAACAGGGTTCTAGAAGGGTCTTGTGTGGTTTGGGAGGGTGGGAAGCAGAGGAACTTAGGAAGAGATCAACGCTGGGGCATCTATCCTGAGGAGGGTGGCCACTGGGACCGGGAGCAGGGTACTCACCCCTCCTCTGAGCTGATTGTGGGTGTGGGCAGTGTTTCTTGCCAGGGGCCAGCTGCTGTGTGAGGTCTGCAGGACGCAGCAGGGAATCTGAACTCAGCTCCAGTTGTAGGGGCCACTTGCCCCAGGCGGTTATTCTGGCACCCCCCCACCCATGTCTCCGGGGCTTCCCCACACAGCCTGAGGGACAAGGGCCTTGTCACCGTCAGAGACAAATGTGTTGTGACTGGTTAGCTCTGGTGAAAGCCTTGGGGCAGGAGAGGATAATCACTTGGTTAAACTAAGTTCAGAATAACTGAATCCCATCAGTGTCCTGGCCTCAGATTCCACACCATTTATTCCACTTACCCACATGCCAAGTGCTCTCCAAGGGGCACAGAAATGAGCCTGTCATGCACTCGCCTCTGGGTGCTCTCAGGTGAAGCAGGTTAAGTGCCCTCTGCTCAGACCGGACACAGTCTGCAGCAGCAGATTGCCCTCACCTGCTGGGCCAGGCCCTCACGCGGTGGCCTGCCCCCAAAGCCCAGCTGCAGCAGCTGCTTCCACTTTGCAGGGCTAAACATAGACCATGGGCAGAACTGGCCCCATTTTCAGCCTTTCCTCCCCCAGCCCCTTGTCCACGTTAATCTTAAAACTCCCTGATCTCCCTAATCTGGGAGAGGGTGTAGGCTGGTCTAGAACCCAGGGGGATGTTCATTTAAAGCTGAACTACACAGTATGTGGTATTCAATGGGCAAAGGTTTTATCTGCAAGTGTTTGGCAGCCAGTACACATTTTGAACGCAGCTGGTTTAAGAATGCCAGCTTGGCCTCCCAGGGTCGGAGGGCACTTGCCTGGTCATGGGCACTGCAGACCACTCTTGGATACCCTGAGGATCAAAGCCAGTGGCGGCTGATGCTCCAGCCTGACTCTCAGGGCGCCTCTTCTATGGCGCTGAACAGCCTGCAGAAGGCTTTCTGGTACTTTGCTTGCCCTGCCCAAGTCTTCCTCTCTCCATCCAGGATGTGGCTCTAACTACTTATCTGGGGATGGATTCTGATCGTCAGAAAATTCCCTGATGAATTAAAACCCCTCTAAGTTGTGAAGGAAAGTTCAGGCCCCTGGTGTACAGTGGCCCCTGTTTACTGCACTTCTGCGCCTGGAATCTCCTAAGACTGAACCCACAGGATAACTAATACCTGTCTCTGCTTACACTTGGTTTTGCCAACAAGACTGCCTAGAAAATTCATAATCTTCCTCCCCCAGGAAGTCTCCCTGATTGACCAGCTACCATCCCCCATCTTTGCATGCATCTACCCACTCCGAGCCTCCCAGGGGGTGGCCAGCATCTGCGGTATGGTCAGACCCTGGCCCTGGTTGGGTTCTAACTCAACCCTCCACTCATCTGGTCACATTGGGAAATGGACAAAGAGCCTAATGTTCATCTCCTGTAGTCTAAGGTTGTGGAGAACATAATTTGACCAACTAAGCCAAGGAAGTCTTTGCTTGCCCACAAAGAACTGGACCAGTCTGGCTGGCTTGCTAGCAAACCCCTTCCACCTTCCTCCTTCTCCTCCTCTTCCTCGTGCATCCTCTTTCCTTCTGGATCTGCTACCCCCTTTGTTTTCCTGCCTCAGCAATGTGTAGCCTGCAGGCCTTGTAGTCATGGAGCCCCTCAAGGTCTAGGATGCCTGGGAACCTGGGATGGCCCTGCCCATATCCTGGCCAGCACCCAGGTGCACCACTGCCCCCTTCCCACAGCCCAGGGAGTCCGAGGATTTGCAGCCCAGGCTCACATGGAAACATGAGCCTGACAAAGCCACTCCAGGGGTCCTTCCATCTCAGCCAGAAATTCTCCCACCTACCCCTTCCCCAGCAAAGAAGACTAAACGCAAGTCTCCTAAAGGGGTCATTAGCAAGAGGTTTCCTTAAACTCTCCTATTTTACCTTAAAACTGCTTGTATGTTTTGCAATCTGCTGCATAACCTATAATAAAAATATCCTACCCCTCTCCCCCAAATACAGAAATAAAATGGAAGCTCCTGGAGGACACATCTCATTTCCTCTGAGGCTTCATGACCTTTACTCCCCAGGGAGTGTCCCTGTTTGAGACACATACCTGAGCCTTTCTGCTCACTTGACACAAAGACACACAGCATTTTGCCTAGCAATTAACAGGGGCTGTCCTGCAGTGACCATGCTTATTTTCATCTTGTAAGTCTTGGCATTATGTAGAGAATTCAGCCAGGAGACCTGTTCAAGCCCCCTTTCTCAGAAAGCAAGGTCTGAGCAAGAGTCCTCCTGTTCGTGAGGCTGAGAGGCCAGCAGCTCCCCTCCACGGCTCTCTGCCCCTCCTCTCACCTGTCCCGAGGGTCCTAAAGAGATGCTCTGCTAGTCAGCAACACTCAGATCAACCTGTGGTGGTCCACTGGTCTCCCTGCCCACCACAGGCTGTGGAGACTTCTGGAGAAGCAGAGAGGGGAGAAGCAGGGCTGTGTGTGGGTTATGGGTCAGGGATGTGAGTCTAGCACGTGCAGAGTTCTCTAGTGTATGCCCTGGACAGCACCCACCATGAGCAGCCTATCAGGCAGTGGGCTCTTGTTCTGCAGACCCTTCTCCTACCAGAAAACAAACACTCTCTCCGTCCCCAACCTACCTCCGCCTACAGTCCCCCCATGGTTCTTATTCGACGGGGCACGGGCGGCTCCCCTTGAAAATTCTGATCAGCCTACAGACCTTCTTCCCAGAAGAATGCATGGACACCGACACAGAAAACTGTGGGTGTCATTTAGGTGTCCAACGCATGTGGTGGTTAGGTGGCCCTGTTTTTACAAAGGTGGGTCACAGTGCGGGCTAGTCTCCTTCCTTTGACAGAGAGAGATTGGTGAGGCCAGCACCCCCAGATGCATTTCTGAGAGCACCAATTCCAGCAACATTATCAGCAGCTCCTGGTAGGGTGGGGGTGGTGGCCCACTGGGGCTGGGGACTCCAGTTAAACAGTTTCCTCTCCTGCAGGGCTTCCTGGACTTGGGGTGGGGGGACTGTTAGAGCAGGTAGTGTTCCCCAAGACAGACATGTCCTAAGGGCTGGCCCACAGGGCTGGTGCTCCAGCACCCCCGAGGGGGACCCACACTGCAGTAGAAAACTAAATGCTTCAGCCCCACCCTGGCTGGTGCAGGCGGCCCATCCTCCTTTCGGTCCTTACCTGCTTCCTCTGTCTGGTGGTTCCTGGCTGCCCACATTTGACTGGGCATTGCTTTCTTGGCTGAACACCTCCTTGAGCTCAGCTCCTTGGAAATGCTCCAGAAAAGAGCCAGGTCTCAGGTCTTCGTGCTGTAAGTGCCTGGCGGCCCAGGCACGCAGCGAAATGATGAGGCGTGACAACCTGGAAGGACACAGACAGGTAGCCAGCGCGGAGAGGCAAAAGGCCGAAAGCCTCTCCCTGGGGGCCAGAGCAGAAGCAGAGATGAGGCGGGACGCGGGTCCCGGGGCAGGCAGTCCGCTGGCACCTCCTCTCCGCCGGGCCTTCTAGCCCCTTCTCCTCCCCCGTCTCAGTCTGGGACAGAGCTTCCTGGGTAAGAAACATTGTCTTCATGATGCCTTGTCTTTTTAATGCCTGGACTCTACCAAAGGCATGTTTCTTCCAGTGGGGAACTAGCAGCATTTCTGCTCATTATTCCTTTTGTAGAGTTCTTTGTTATGACTGGTAAGCATCAGGATAAAAAAATATACAATTTCCAAATGGTGATAAAATCTAGGGCAAGGTTTAAAGGAACAAACGCCCCAATACAACCCAGATTCTCTTCCCAGCTTGTGCCCTATTGTTTCTCACACAAACTCTCATTTGCTCCCCAGGTTTATGCAGAAGCTTTTTTGCAACTTGTCCTGACCCTTCTGCAGCCAGACCCTGTGGGGCCCAAGCACCAGGGACCTGGCAGTCTGCATTCCAGAGCCCACCTCAGCTCCAGCCTCTTGTGAGAAACCTTCCCTCAGGCCTGCCTCAGAGGGGAAGGGGAGAGACTCAGCTCTGCTTCTTGGCATATGGTTTCCCTGACCTGGCATCCACAGTGCATGCCACTGTTCGCCATGATATCAGTTTTCAGCAACCTGGAACAGAGTCATGAATTGTTACATACCTTGACTCTAAGTACACACTTGTGACCTTAGCCTAAGGCAATAAATCAAAACAGGAAAACATCCCGTGTACAGCTGCTGCTGTGGACATACATTGAGGGGCCTGCCCAGCCCACCCCCTCTGCTCCAGACCCTGCCTGCACCCTGCATCCCCCCTTGGCTGAGGGGGTGGCACCAGGGTCATACTCCTCACTCCAGCCTCCAACACAGGCCAAGGAATGGACAACTGACCCACAGCAAGTCACTCAGCCTCTCCAAGATGGAAGTGGATGTTTACAACTCAGGTCATAGGGCAAAGGCCATTTCAGCCCATGCCTGTTGATGTGTAAGTAGAGAAAGCCAGAAACAGAAGAGACATGCAGAAATATAAAACCCAAAGATCAAGACACTCCATGAGGAAATGAAAGGGAGAATGCAGCTGCCTCCCTGCTCCTTTCTCAGGAGCCCATTGGCATCATTTCCACTTGGTGGCCTGTATCTCAGCCCTGCCCCAGCCCCACCACAGCCCTGCCCCAGCCCTGCCCCACCTCAGCCATTTAATTAGAACTGGTTTGAAGGTGTTCTCTTCCTTGCAATCAAGAAGACTTAAGACAGCATTTTATTAGTAAGACAAAAACACTGGAAATCACTTAAATGCCCAGCCCCAAGGGGCTAGTGAAATAAATAATCCTCCACAATGAAAAATACGAAGAATAACTACATAAATTAAGTTTTTGCAATAATCTTAAGCAACACCTGCAGAACAGATGACTACATAAAATTATGGAATTGGTAAAAAAAAAAAAAATTTGGTGGGAGGAAATCACAAGCCCAACATTTGTTGAGTACCTGTCGTGAGCCAGGGCTTGGCTCTGATGCAGCCCACATGTTGCTAAATGCATCTCTAGAGGACACTTGCAAAGGTAAATGGCTTCCTCAAGGTGGTACAGTTACTGAAGCCGTAGCACAAATGTCATCAGAAGGCAGACAGGGCAACAACCTAGCTAATCGTTCAATGTTTTTGCAAAGGATGCATGCTGCACAGCATAGGTCCCTGTGAGATGTGCCAGGGGCTCCTGTGGAGAGTGTCCCCTGTGGTCTACCCAGTGGTCCCTGCAGCTGGCTGGTCTTTTTTCTGAATTCTTTTCTGAAGTGTCCCTGGTTGGCTTTTTTTTCCTTAAATTCTTCCAGAATTGATATTGAGCAAGTACCTCAATATCACTTTTCACTAAAACAATTTCAGAGAAGGGCAGTTTTCCTAAGACTTTTCTGAGCTCAGAACACCTGGCCCAAGAGGAAAAGTACTCCCTGATGGATTTCTGACTGCTCTTCTGCCCACTTCTTCTCTGAATCTTCAGCCCCATTCCCCACACCCACCATCTCTTCCTGAGACTTATCTACCTCCTTTCTGTCTCCGTCTCCCCCTTCCCAAGGTGAGGGCTAAGACTGGTCACTTACCTGGCAGGCCCCTGGCTGGTGAAGGAGCTTTGCCTGGATTCAGCCTGTCCTCTGGTCTCCATGGTGATCCCAGGCTGAGGTTCTGATAATATGTCCTCACATGGCGAGTGGGTCCTAGGAAATCAAATATTTAGCAGCAGGCTAAATTGATTTTAAGCTCATCCACCTCCTGGACACACACAGAATGAGACAGTCAGATGCCTTGCTTAATGAGGAAAGCTGCCATCACAGAGGCTCCACCCAGGGGCTCCCCCTCTAGTTTGTGCTCTGGGAGGATCCATTAGATCCTGGCTTTTGGCATTAGCATGGCTTTTCCTTTATAGCAAGCCTGACCAAGGAAGGCGGCTCATGTCCAGCTACTGCCCAAGCCAGCAGCAAGTGGCCCTCACCAGAGCATCAGCTGGGGAGGCCCCAGTGCCTACCATCTGGGGCCATAGAAGCTATTTCCACACAATGACCCCAGAACAAGGATTCCAGTTCAAATGCATCTCTGCATACTGAAACTCCATCGTCTAAGCCCAGACCAAGTGCCACCTCCTCCAAGAGGCCCTCCCTAGACATCCCTCCCACCGTGTGTGTGCCACAGACACACTATGGGTCAGTCACTTGTGTGCTTGTGGGGCAGCCTTTCTGGGAACCCATGTGGTTGTCTGGTTAAGAGGAGTGCACTGTATGGAATTGGCCTAGCACCTCCCTGGCCCCTGCCACCAACACATGTTAGTACGATGTTTTCATATGAAAATCCATTTCCACTGTGCCTTTTGCCAAGCCCGAACCCCTATGCCCTGCAGTGCAGAGGTAACTGGGGCAGTGACTTCACCTGGGCAGTTCAGGGTGACACGCTGCACACACATAGGACAGGTGCCCACGGCTCACTATGAGCACCAGTCACAGCAGCAGAGCCTGGTGTTTGTTGAATTGTCTGGAATAAGACCAATGTGTCTGGGCATATTTTTCCCTTCTTTCCCTTTCTTTTAAAACCTTCTAGGGCTGAAGTTGGGTCAGCCTGATTAAAAGCCAGCCAGGCATTGGCCTCTGGAGATTGCCCTTCATTCTATGAGTCTTGAGGAGCCCAGGCAATACACATTAATTCTATCACGTGACCTATTCCAACCTAATCAACCTTCTTAACAAGGTGGCAACACGGCTGGATAAGTTAGTAAGAATTAATGTCCAGGGAAAGGCTCTCCCTCTCCCTGGTGACTGATTAGAGTCAAGAATCCTGCGCCCGGGCAGCCGCGGAGCCACGGAGCCGGGGATCCCCTTTCCTACAATCCCTCCTGTCTCCAGCAGGGGGCGCCCGCCTCCTTCCTATGGCCCGTCTAGCTCTGCACAGCTCCGACTGCCTGCAGGTTCTTCCCACCCTGTTTTCTCAGGTAAAGACTACGTTTTTCCTGCTGGAGTCCAACAGAGCCAGGCAACTTCACCTTCCCTGTGATCGCCCTCAGTGTTGGGCCTGCTCTCACATCTGTGTTGCATCTGTTTTCCAGGCTGGAACCCTGAGCTCCCCAAACACCCCTCATCAGGTTGAGTCTCTTCCCCATCACGGTCATCCTCCCAGGGGCAAGGTCCTGCATTCTTGCCTGGTCACAGAGAGGGAGTGCACCCTGCTATTACTGGAGCCCAAGCTACAGGCCGTTAATAACTTTCTCAAGGTCGCACTGCCAAGTGGCACAGCTGATTTGAACGTACTTCCATCCCATTGCACAACCTGCTGTCATCCACTCCATGAAGCTGCCCTCTATATTTTCAATATATGAAAACTGATTAAAGCAAAAGCTGCACAGGACATGGCTGAGGACTGAGCCCTGCAGCATGCCCCTAGATAACTGGCTCTGATACAATAGCAGGCATGGCTATTTCCAAACCACCTTACTGAATTCTCCCCTATACTCATGAGAGACCACTCACATCTCATCCTTAAACACGTGAGACCTGTCAGAGACCCTGCTGCAGTTAGGAAGCTATGATCCCCTTGCTCTTCTTATATTCTGTATGCTACAAAGGTGGGATGCACGTTTCAAAGCATCTAAGACAGTTACAGGAGGAATAGGAGGGAGACAAGTCCATCTCTCCAGCTCCCGGATCCTAGCGGCTGGCATGCGGTGATAGTGGTGAGCAGGAACTCACAGCTGGGGCGGTGCTCAGTCACGAAACATGTGCCCAGATCTGGAGGCAATCCTAAAGAGGGAGGTGTTGTGGACCCAACAGAAGCTCCTCAGGGAGCCTTAGGCACCAAGTAGTCAGCTCAGCATTTCTGCCTGGTCGGTTTTCTGCTAATGATGCAAGGGCACATCCTGAGACCAGATGTATTTGCATTTGCAGCAAAGGAATCAATGACATCAGAGCTGATGGGCAGGTGAGGAGTGCAGAACCCAGCCCAGATTCCAAAGCAGGCCTGCTCCTGGCCGCGGTGAGAGCTACCGCTGTGGACTGCATCTACCATACTCACTCGAAGGGGTGGTGGCTGAGTGGCGAGCAGTGCTGCCTGGGTTCGAATTCTCACCCCAGCACCTATTAGCTAGGTCCTCTGTGGCTGGTTACTTACCCTCCCTGAATTTAAGTTGCCTGGTATTCAAAAAGAAATAATGGAAAAATTGGTGATTTCATATTGATTTAAGTATTACTCAGAGACCCAAGTCCAGAAAGGCACATTCAGCCATGAAGAGTAGGGGAAGCCTTATATGTCATAAGTTCAAGGCCCCCAATGGGGATTTTCTTCCCAATGCATCTCCCCACTTGTTTCTTGGTGCTTGAAATTCTACCATGTCTTTCCTGGTGCTCCAGGGTCTCTTCGGAGGTAAATGTTAAGCCTAATCAGTTACACCTCAGAGAAACTGATTGTACTAAGCAGGTGGAGGGGAGATGGGAGGAGAGGAGAGGAATGCAATGTCTGGGGTGATATTTTTGAGTCTCCAAGGACACATGGGTACTGAAAAAGGGGAGAAGCTTCTGGCAGTCAGTGCAAGAAAGAGGATCTAGAACCCCCCAGGGAAATACAGAGCCTGCCTGGAGCTGGCTGAGGGGCCCAGGGAAGGACGGACAGGAGCCTGGTCTCTGTACAGGGAGCAGGGCCAGCCAGGACAACCCCGAAGCTACCTCCCACTTGGAGGGTGTGATCCTAGGAAGTGACAATGTCTGTGCAGGTAGAAGCTCCACAAAGTTAGTAATTAGCAAGAACGAGAGCCACTGGAGCAATATAATGAAGTGACTACTTTGAAAGACAAGGCAATTTTCACTGTGCCATGCCCATCTTGTAAGTTTATTTATCAAGAGGAATTAATATCCATGAGGGAAGCTTTCCTCTGTCATGGGGACAGGACAGAGGTTCTCATGAGAGCTGGAACTGGTAATTAACTGCATTCTCTGGAGCATCTGGTGTCTTCCTACAGGGACTTTGGGGACATAAGAGTAAACACAAATGATCTTTTAGAACAAGGGTGGAGAATCTGACACCGTATTTTTTTCCTCCTCCTAAGCCTGGAGGGACTTGACTGATGAGCGTGCATCGCCATCAGCCACATGTGACCAGGGAACTGAAGTGTCTGCATTTTTTGTCTTTGATCTGGGGAAGCAGGTTGAAAATGGATTTCTTTGGTGATAATTGCTTTGTGCTGTGTTCAGTGAGCAGCACGAAGGCGGCTTCTCCTCCATAGGACACAGGCCCTGTGCCCAAAAGCTGCACCAGGAGATTGATATGGGACTTGGGGTGCCCTTGGTCCTGGCTGCAATTCTCTGTAGCAGATTCCGAAGTCTTTATTGCATTAGCTTCAAAAATATGCCAGACAGCCCTGACATTATTGAGTCAACTAAACAGATCTAAAGAGAAAAGGAGAATAGGCTCTCCCTCTCCCTGGTGACTGATTAGAGTCAAGAATCCTGCGCCCGGGCAGCCGCGGAGCCACGGAGCCGGGGATCCCCTTTCCTACAATCCCTCCTGTCTCCAGCAGGGGGCGCCCGCCTCCTTCCTATGGCCCGTCTAGCTCTGCACAGCTCCGACTGCCTGCAGGTTCTTCCCACCCTGTTTTCTCAGGTAAAGACTACGTTTTTCCTGCTGGAGTCCAACAGAGCCAGGCAACTTCACCTTCCCTGTGATCGCCCTCAGTGTTGGGCCTGCTCTCACATCTGTGTTGCATCTGTTTTCCAGGCTGGAACCCTGAGCTCCCCAAACACCCCTCATCAGGTTGAGTCTCTTCCCCATCACGGTCATCCTCCCAGGGGCAAGGTCCTGCATTCTTGCCTGGTCACAGAGAGGGAGTGCACCCTGCTATTACTGGAGCCCAAGCTACAGGCCGTTAATAACTTTCTCAAGGTCGCACTGCCAAGTGGCACAGCTGATTTGAACGTACTTCCATCCCATTGCACAACCTGCTGTCATCCACTCCATGAAGCTGCCCTCTATATTTTCAATATATGAAAACTGATTAAAGCAAAAGCTGCACAGGACATGGCTGAGGACTGAGCCCTGCAGCATGCCCCTAGATAACTGGCTCTGATACAATAGCAGGCATGGCTATTTCCAAACCACCTTACTGAATTCTCCCCTATACTCATGAGAGACCACTCACATCTCATCCTTAAACACGTGAGACCTGTCAGAGACCCTGCTGCAGTTAGGAAGCTATGATCCCCTTGCTCTTCTTATATTCTGTATGCTACAAAGGTGGGATGCACGTTTCAAAGCATCTAAGACAGTTACAGGAGGAATAGGAGGGAGACAAGTCCATCTCTCCAGCTCCCGGATCCTAGCGGCTGGCATGCGGTGATAGTGGTGAGCAGGAACTCACAGCTGGGGCGGTGCTCAGTCACGAAACATGTGCCCAGATCTGGAGGCAATCCTAAAGAGGGAGGTGTTGTGGACCCAACAGAAGCTCCTCAGGGAGCCTTAGGCACCAAGTAGTCAGCTCAGCATTTCTGCCTGGTCGGTTTTCTGCTAATGATGCAAGGGCACATCCTGAGACCAGATGTATTTGCATTTGCAGCAAAGGAATCAATGACATCAGAGCTGATGGGCAGGTGAGGAGTGCAGAACCCAGCCCAGATTCCAAAGCAGGCCTGCTCCTGGCCGCGGTGAGAGCTACCGCTGTGGACTGCATCTACCATACTCACTCGAAGGGGTGGTGGCTGAGTGGCGAGCAGTGCTGCCTGGGTTCGAATTCTCACCCCAGCACCTATTAGCTAGGTCCTCTGTGGCTGGTTACTTACCCTCCCTGAATTTAAGTTGCCTGGTATTCAAAAAGAAATAATGGAAAAATTGGTGATTTCATATTGATTTAAGTATTACTCAGAGACCCAAGTCCAGAAAGGCACATTCAGCCATGAAGAGTAGGGGAAGCCTTATATGTCATAAGTTCAAGGCCCCCAATGGGGATTTTCTTCCCAATGCATCTCCCCACTTGTTTCTTGGTGCTTGAAATTCTACCATGTCTTTCCTGGTGCTCCAGGGTCTCTTCGGAGGTAAATGTTAAGCCTAATCAGTTACACCTCAGAGAAACTGATTGTACTAAGCAGGTGGAGGGGAGATGGGAGGAGAGGAGAGGAATGCAATGTCTGGGGTGATATTTTTGAGTCTCCAAGGACACATGGGTACTGAAAAAGGGGAGAAGCTTCTGGCAGTCAGTGCAAGAAAGAGGATCTAGAACCCCCCAGGGAAATACAGAGCCTGCCTGGAGCTGGCTGAGGGGCCCAGGGAAGGACGGACAGGAGCCTGGTCTCTGTACAGGGAGCAGGGCCAGCCAGGACAACCCCGAAGCTACCTCCCACTTGGAGGGTGTGATCCTAGGAAGTGACAATGTCTGTGCAGGTAGAAGCTCCACAAAGTTAGTAATTAGCAAGAACGAGAGCCACTGGAGCAATATAATGAAGTGACTACTTTGAAAGACAAGGCAATTTTCACTGTGCCATGCCCATCTTGTAAGTTTATTTATCAAGAGGAATTAATATCCATAAGGGAAGCTTTCCTCTGTCATGGGGACAGGACAGAGGTTCTCATGAGAGCTGGAACTGGTAATTAACTGCACTCTCTGGAGCATCTGGTGTCTTCCTACAGGGACTTTGGGGACATAAGAGTAAACACAAATGATCTTTTAGAACAAGGGTGGAGAATCTGACACCGTATTTTTTTCCTCCTCCTAAGCCTGGAGGGACTTGACTGATGAGCGTGCATCGCCATCAGCCACATGTGACCAGGGAACTGAAGTGTCTGCATTTTTTGTCTTTGATCTGGGGAAGCAGGTTGAAAATGGATTTCTTTGGTGATAATTGCTTTGTGCTGTGTTCAGTGAGCAGCACGAAGGCGGCTTCTCCTCCATAGGACACAGGCCCTGTGCCCAAAAGCTACACCAGGAGATTGATATGGGACTTGGGGTGCCCTTGGTCCTGGCTGCAATTCTCTGTAGCAGATTCCGAAGTCTTTATTGCATTAGCTTCAAAAATATGCCAGACAGCCCTGACATTATTGAGTCAACTAAACAGATCTAAAGAGAAAAGGAGAATTCAAGATACCTTTGTTTCTGGTATTTTCAGGGTATAAACAACTTTTTTTGTTCAAATGATACATTTCATCCTTCCTTATGATGATGGGTCACTAGGAAAATGATTCCAATAATTTAACGAAACAACCAGAAACCTGGGTGAAAGACCTGGGGGCAGGGATGTTTCAGAGGACAGGGACATGGCATGTCTTCCCTCCTGGGGGCATTCAACAAAGGGCCACACTGACACATGGGTCCCCAGCACAGCTTCTTAATATCATTGCGGATAAAGAGTGATTAATATCTGAGGACACATATTTGCGATTGTTTCTCCCAAAAGCTTCCTAAAAGGATTTGAATTTCAAGGCAAAGATGTATGGTTTATTCAAACACCATTTCCTCCCCTAAAACAGTGACTTGAAACTTAAAAATTTTTATATCAATGTGCCAGAGTCCTTTGTCCAAACAGATCTCACAGGGAGAACTAGTCTGTGAAAAGACAGATGCTGGGCTGCGCTGGGAAGCAGGGGTGGGACCTGGACCCAGCATCTGGGTCTGAAGCTGCCCCACCCCCAGCCTGGACACCAGTTCCCAATCCTTGGTGATGCCAAGGAACCCACTCTGGAAACTGCCATCTGTTAACCTACTCCTGCCTCCATAAGATAAAGCACATGAGGGAAGCAGTCTTTCTCTCCTTTTGAAACCTCTGTAGTGTTTCCATGAGTATAGCCTGCCAACAAGCTTTTACTAAGTGGTGGACAAAGCCCCAAGTGGGGCTCAGTGAGACCTGGCTAGTGGTCAGGCTGAGAAAGCATGTCTTGGACACAGGCAGGAAATGACTGGTTCCAGGTGTCAGGACAGCTGGGGCTGTCTGAGGTCAGAGGAGGAGGAGAAGGCTTCCGGGCCCACAGAAGAGGAATCATTACCAACAGGGAGCCTTGACTGAGTCTGTGCCACATGGCAGGGACTGCAGAGAGCTATAACCCTGAGGTCAGGGCAAGTCTTTTGCAAATGAGGAAACTGAGGCTGGGGGCAGTTGTATGACTTTTCAGAGATGGTCATTTGAGAGCCAGTGCTGAAATGCAGGCCTGACCTTGCACCTGTGCTGTTCATCATCTTGCTGGCCAGGGGAAGGGACGGGCGGCAGGGGAAGGGTACTGTCTCATCCATGAAGATGGCAAATGGCACGGTTGAAAGGTGTCAGTTCAGAGCCCCTGACCGTGTGGCTGGCCAATCCCGAGTATGTGTGAACCCACTGTGAGCCTGCAGAGTCTCTTAGAAGCCAGAGGCCCATTGCCAGGTGTCAGTGTGGTTTAATGAGCCAGCAATTTATTTTGCAAAGGGTCATCTTCAGGAGACCTGGTAAACCCTCTTCAATAGCCCACAAGTCAGGCTAGGCTTGTTGGCCACTAGCCGAGGCAGACCCAGGACACATCAGGCAGAGCTGGATCATGGCAGTGCCTGGCTAAGCAGACACGCTGGGCAGGCTACTCTTGACTGTCTCACTGGAAGAATCCAGACTGAGACCCTGTTGTCGGCTTTCAGCCCCAGGGAGTCTGGAAGCTCCATGAAATGCTTCAGTCAGAAGAGAGTCATGGGGAAAATCTTCACTTCTTTTCAAATCCTTCCTGATCCTGACAGTCTCTGTCCTTCTCCCACTGAGTCCAAAAGCCCAAGAGCCCAGGGCTGGGCCCATTCTTAAGCCTTTTCTCCCCTCTACCCCAACCCTCTTCGAAGCCCCCCTTCAAGGGGTTTTATTAGCTCAGATATGGGAAAGCAACTGTCAATGCATACCAAAGTTTAACAGCAGATAACTGTCCTAACAGTGCTCTTGTTTCTTTTAAATAAGAGGCAGTGACTTACCAAAAGGAATAAGCCTCCAGAGGTGGGACTCAGGTATTGACAGTAAGTAGGCCAGTTAGAAGGGAGAGATTTGAGTAGGGTGGGAATTTCTAATGGCCCTGAGTCCTGTTGTACTTCCTTGGGGCCAGCACCAAGTGAAAATGATTGGATGGAACAAATATCCATTGGAACGATTTGAGATTTTCTTTCCTTTGCCTGAATCCCAGAAGGTGGGGTCCTAGAGCTGTATAAGTTTGCAATAATAGGGACTCAAATTCTTGGGAAATTGTTACCCGTCACTTACTAGCAGGTTTACTAAGGGGTTGGGACCAAGAACACAGGCAGAGAAAAAACAAAGGGGAATAACAGAGGGGGGCCCAGTGCCAGGGAAGTGAGGACTGAGGGACTGTCATTGCATCTTTTGGCTACCAGATAACATGCACTTATCAGGACAGGGAGAAGTTTTCACTGTTACATGTGAAGGACAGAAATAACATAAATATTGGAAATAAAGTTTCTCATGGTTCAACTCATTGAGAATAATTAAGAAACATAAAAATCTACATCCATTTGCACCAAACAGGCACTGTTCCATTCCCTCCCTATTATGCCACGAGCTTGGAAAAGAATGGTGCTCCATTTTTACAGGTGAAGAAGTGAGTTTTGCATGAAGTGTCTTCCCAAGTCCACTAGTAAGTTAGGAACAGGGCTAGAGTGGAATGCAGTGCCCCAGATTTCTACACAGCTGCCTGTGGTGGGATGGTATCGACAGGGTTAATGGCTCTGCTGGCCCACTTTCAACAGGCCCATCAGCACAAGTGGATCCTGACCTTCACCTGGAAGGTAGGGGCAGGGCATCTGATCTGTACATATCCCCAGTGCTCAGGACAATGGCTGGCACACAGAATCCACTAAATGTTTGATGTATACATGTGGCAGTTTGGTGAAGTTTTTACAATAGAATTTATTCCACATTTGAATCTTCATTTTGTTATTTTATACAAAGTATGTAACTTTTTGAGTCACATTTCCCCACATCTTTAAAATGAGAATAAAAACTACTTTAGTGTGGGTTGTGAGGATTAAGTGAAGTGAAAAATGAAGTCAGAAGGAGCACTGTGACTGGTACCCACCCCTCCAAAGTGTGGTGGCCATAGGCTAAGGCACTCTTTCTCCCATGGTCTAGGTGACCTATGGCAATGACCTGATGCAGGCATACAAAACAAAACCCGCCTTACCTACTGATGCCGTTTTCAACATGCTCGAGATCTCTGTCCGAGGTTCTTACCGTGGGGTGAACCAGGGACGGGTGAGAGAATCGGGTGTTGATCTTGGCCATCGTCTTGCTCTGTCACATTCAGCACCAAGGTGGCTCCTGAAACATGAACCCGAAGTAGACATGTCATCAGGATGCGGAAGCAGCTGCAAACCCAGCTCATCAGTGTGAGGGCTACTTGCCCAGGCAAGTGTGGCACACATGCCCTCCTCCCTTTTCTCTCACGGTTCCTGCCACACCGTGTTTTGGTTGGGTGTCTCTGGGCTCTTCTTGCCAGCCTGAAGCACAAACAAGGTGCTTCAGTATACTTCGTTATATGCTGCCATGCCAAAGAGCTGCTCAAAGTTTTTGTATTTTTTTTTATCTGAATGTTAGATTTTGCAGACCTCTCTCTGCCTCTTGATTTCTTGCCACTTGAGGGTCCCAAATCCACTACTATCTTCTCAGACTATCCACCTCCCTTAGGGGACACAACTGCTTTGCTGCCCCTCCGAGGTCCCAACCCACTTGTCTCTTGACACTGTGAGGTCTGGAATTCATGTCCAAGGGCACACATGCTCTTTGCAGTCCCAGCTCACTCACAAAGCCAACACAAACCACCTGTGTGTGGGCAGGACCTTCTCCTCATCCAGCCCCTTCCCAGGAGCAGGCCCAGTGCCCAGGGATAGGGTTCTTCTGCTGGCAGAGGGCACTTGCATTCCCTGCATGGCCTCCAGAGGCTGCAGAGATGGAAGCTGCTTTGCCAGGACTTGCCTTGTTCATTTCAATCCCAACTTGGATTCTACATGAATCTGGAGAAAATGAGACCAGATACCTCTAGAAGGAAAGGTCAAGATGGCGACACACTGTACTTCTCCCTGGTCTCAGGATGTAAGAGGGACAGATACCTTCAATGGCCCTTAAAGCAACAGATGTTCAGACAGGAACATGACCAAGGGCCAAGGAACACTGCAGCAGGGCCTCCTGTTGTCTGTCTTCTGGGATGGCAGCTGAGCTCCCTTTTGGAGCTGAGTGAGCCTGAGTTCAGGCCATGGAGAGGCAAGTCAGAACCCTGGGGATCCCTGGGCTCTTCCAGCCTGAGGCACAAATGGGTTACTTCAATATACTTTTGTATATGCTGCCATGCTGAAGAGCTGCTCAAAGTTAAGTGCTGATCCCACAAATGAATGAATGAAGGCCAAGTTGGTATCTATTGTGAAAAAGCTAAAATCCTCACAATTCTCTGGGATGATGCAATGTCCCTCTTGACTCTGGTTGTCTCATTTACTTATTTTTATCTTACAATTTTGCATATTATAGTTTTAACAGCTCCTACAAATCCATTTTAAGACAAAGTATTAAAAACTTCTGCCTAACTAAAAAAGAAGTTTAAAAGAAAACAAAAAAGCAGCCTATTGAATCAGAGAAGATATTTGCAAATGATATATTCAAAATATATAAAGAACTCATACAACTCAACACCAAAAAACCCCCAAACAATCCAATTAAAAAATGGGCAGAGGACCTGAACAGACATTTTTCCCAAAAGACACAGTTGGCCAACAGATACATGAAAAGATGCCCCACATCACTCATCATCAGGGAAACGCAAACCAAACCCACAGTGAGATATCACCTCATATCAGTCAGAATAGCTAATATCCACAAGACAAGAAATAAGAGGTGTTGGAGAGGATGTGGAGAAAAGGGAACCCTAGTACACCATTGGGAATGTAAATTGGTTCAGCCATTATAGAAAGTGTTACGGAGGTTTCTCAAACAACTAAAAATAGAAATAGTATATGACTGAGTAATTCTACTTCTGGGAATTTACCCAAAGAAAATAAAATTACTAATTAAAAAAGATATATGCATCCTATGTTTATCACAGCATTATTTGCAATAGCCAAGATACAGAAGCAACCTAAGTGACCAGTGATAGGTGAATGGATAAAGAATATGTGGTACATATACACAATGGAATTTTACTCAGCCATAAAAAAGAATGAAATCTTAACATTTGTGACATATAGATGGATCTAGTGGGTATTAAGTGAACAAGTCAGACAGAGAGACAAAAATCATATGATTTCATTTATATGTGGAATCTAAAAAACAAAACAAATGAACAGACTCATTAACACAGAGAACAGACTGGTGGTTGCCATGGAGGAGGGGGTGGGGATGGGTGATGTAGGTGAAGGGGATGAAGAGGTATAAACTTCTAATCCTAAAATAAATAAGTCACGGGGATGGAAGTACAGCATAGGGAATACAGTCAATAACACTGGAATATCTTTGTACATTGAGATGTAACTACATTTATCATGGTAAGCATTTAGTAATGTATATAATTGTTGAACTACTGTGTTGTACACCTGAAAACAATATATTATTATATATTAACTATATTTCAATTTTTATAAAGCACAAAAAACTAATAATACTTGGCATTCATTTCATAAAAACTTTATAATGTGATGTTAAATCCAGTATGCATTTCATCTCATTTAATCATCACAATAACCTCATCAAATATTTGCCATTTTCATACCCATTTGAAGATGACTTAATTGACACTCAGTTAAGCAGCTCGTCCAAGCAAAGACATAGGTAAAACCTGTCAGTGGTATATCTTGAGGCTAGAAATCAAACTACAAATACTTTCCCTTCAGCAAACATTAGAAGGTGCCCCCATGACTGATGAAAAAGAAAGCTGATGTGAGGGTAGGGCTGGTGGAATGTACACAGAGGTTGGCCAGTTCCATAACTACCAAATGGATAGAATAGCCTGGATGTGTTAACTGATCACGTATAAGGGGCAGTGAAGACAGGGATATGTCAAGCATGATGTTCTGGCTGCTGGACTGGGAGGTTGGTGGTACTGTGCCCTGAGGCAGGGGACCAGAGGAAAAGCAGGTTTGAGGAAGAGAATGATTCCAGTTTGAGATGTCTGTGGAAACTTTAGAGCCATCATATGAAATAAAAATCTTCCATTGAAGCAGTAAACCCCATCTGAAATTGTCCAATGCTTTTTCATTGAGCCAGGCAATATGCTAAGAGCTAAGGTTCTATCAGACAATGAAATACAGCTCTATCCTCAAGGAGCTTACAGTCTTGAAGTTTTAGGACTCTGAAAAATCTATCAAATGATTCTTCTTTGTATATTTCCAGAAAAATTGCACCAAAGAGAAAAAGTTCATTGCCTCTGGCCCGTATACCCCTTTCCTCAGCCCCCTCAGCTGCACCCTTCACCCTGAGCACACACCTTGGCCACAGATTCCATCATATGGAGGCAGTACTGTCCTGTCCCTGCAGACCTGCCTCCTGCGGAGGGCTACTATATGCCTGGCCCAGGGTACGTGCCTGTGGAATTCTGTCTCCGTTAATCCTGATGGCATCTTCCCACTTATAAATGAGGAAACTAAACTGGTGAGCAGTTTTCTTAATGTTGCTTGCGGCCTGAGCCAAGATGGACAAAAATCTGTCTGACTCCAGATCCTGAAAGTGTGAAGTCAGTGGGTAGCAAAGAACTGGCATTGCCTTTTGGCCTGAAATGGAGGGGGTTCCCTCCTACACTGCTGGTGGGAATGTAAGCTAGTTCAACCATTGTGGAAAGCAATATGGAGGTTCCTCAAAAAACTAAAAATAGAAATACCATTTGACCCAAGAATCCCACTCCTTGGAATTTACCCAAAGAATACAACTTTTCTGATTCAAAAAGGCATAAGCACCCCTACGTTTATTGCAGCACTATTTACAATAGCCAAGATATGGAAGCAACCTAACTGTCCATCAGTAGATGAATGGATAAAGAAGATGTGGTACATATACACAATGGAATACTATTCAGCCATAAGAAACAAATCCTACCATTTGCAACAACATGGATGGAGCTGGAGGATATTATGCTCAGTGAAATAAGCCAGGTGGAGAAAGCTAAGTGCCAAATGATTTCACTCATTTGTGGTGTATAACAATGAAGTAAAACTGAAGGAAGAAAATAGCAGCAGACTCAGAGACTCCAAGAAGGGACTAGTGATTACCAAAGGGGAGGGGTGTGAGAGGGCTGGTGGGGAGGGAGGGAGGGAAGGGGATTGAGGGGTATTATGATTAGTACACATAGTGCGGGGGGTCACGGGGAAAACAGTGTAGCACATAGAAGGCAAACAGTGAATCTGTGGCATCTTACTACACTGACGGGCAGAGACTGCATTGGGGATGAGTGGGGACTTGATAATATGGGTAAATGTAGTAACCACATTGGTTTTTCATGTGAAACCCTCATAACAGTGTATACCAATAATACCTTAATAAAAATGAAAAAAAAAGAAATGGAGGGGGTCCCTTTCTGGGGCCCCATACTTTCAAGGTCCCCAGTCTGGTCCTCCTCCAGTCACAGCCCTTGAGGCCAAGGAGGCATGCCCCCCAGAACCCTGTCCCCTGCTCCAGACTGTGCTCTACGTACCCAGGACCCTGGACTAGCCCTAGAGCCTGCCTGGGCCCTTCTAGGTCTGTCTTCACACGAAGGGCACCAGGGTGTACTCGGCTAGACCTCTGGGTGACCAAAGAGCGGCTGTTTGTGAGGGAGGCTGAGTGGGGCTCGGGGTGTGGGCAGGGTGGGAAAGGCCCTTTCTCATGTGGGGTAGACCCAAGCTGGCCAGAGAAGGGGACTGGACATGGATGGTGGACCAGAGATCAAATCTCCCCATGACACCATGTTCTGAGGCTGGACTCAAAGGGGCCTGAGAACTCTGAATTGGAACCTGCTGTCTTGCCACTGGGTTTCAGCCCCAGGAAAGTTCGGTATGGATTCAGTATGACCAAAGAAATTGACAGCGAAATGTTCTTGGGGGTGAAAGCGTTTATTACCCGGCTTGTTCTTCAGCGGTAAGTCGAGCACTAGCATCTCTGCCTCCGGCCAGAGCACTGGGGCAAGCTCTCTATATAACACAGTAATAGCTTATTGCCTAAAGGTGTGGAACTGGCAGCCCAGCAACAGGCCAGTTACATCATCAGGTGGTTTAAGTTCAGTGAGGATCCTGGCCATAGGAACCCCAATTTCCCCACACTCCACCCCTCCAGGAGTCTTGTCTTACAATCTACACACTTTCAATCTT